CGGCCCCGGGGGCCGGGAAGAGGCCGGCGGCCAGGAGTGGATCCCCGGACCCGCGCACACGATCGCCCCCGTCCTGTCCCTGCACCGCCGCCGCCTTCCTGCTCCCGGGCTTCAGCCTCAGCCCCTCCTGCAGCCTCTGCCCGCCCGGGCCCGGCTTGTTCCGCCGCTCTGGGACACGGCACCCACCCTGGTTCTCACAGGATACATATACATATACATGTGCGTGCGCATATATATGCACACACGCACATACACACATACATATGCACACACGCACACATTTTTATATATATGTAAGCACATATATACTTACAGACGCACTCAGGCACACTGGCATACATATGCACACCCCCCCACAAACATGATACATATACACGTGCATGCGCATACTTCCATATATATATATATGTATGTATAGACATATATGCAGCTACACACACACACATGCAACCACCGATACATACATACAGTACTTACATATGCATGCATTTACGCATACATACACATACATGCATATACACATGCACACATATTACATATTACATATTCATACATATATAGAGATACTTATAGACACACAAGCATACCTACATAGACATATGTATATATTTACACACACACATATATATATTACATAATAGTACACTCGCACACAAACATACACAACCCAGGCCTCCAGGGGACCCCCCCAGGATCCACGTGGGAGAGTGTGCTGTTCTCTGCTGCGGGAGCCTGGGAACCATGTGGTTGCACTGAGGCAACAGCCACAGGTCCTTGGTGCGGGGGGGAGCTGCAGAAGAGATGACACCCCCACTGGGTGCAGTTGCCACCAGATCCACCACTTCTACCATGAGGGACAAAGGGGCCACTGCATGGATTGCAGGCAGCCGCCCCTCAGGCCGGTGGGCCATGAAGATCCCACCACGAGCACCAGATGCCGGCTCGCCTTGGCCTGCCAAGAGGAGGGGTGGAGGGATGCAGAACCCGGGCCTCCGGGTCACTCACAGTTATGCAGGACCCTGGCCTCTAGGACACGCATGCATACATCCACACACGTGCACAACACACACACAACCCAGGTGTCTGGCACACTCACAGCACCCAGACCCCTGGCTCACACACCTACGCCTACACAAAACCAAGGGGTCTGGACACCCCCCCCCACCAGGTGTCCAGGACACGCAGAAACCTGGCTGAGAATTTCCTGTCCAGTCCCTCAGGGCTCCCATCAGAGGCTCCCCCTAAATGTGAGACCCTCTCCCCACTGTTTTTTTACAGGGCCTGGTTTAAATACCTCTGAGCTGGGGCTTTCTCCCTCTCTAACACCCCAAACCTGCTCTCTCTGAACCCCCCCCTCCCCCCATACTCAGAGCTGGAGGAAGGGGTCCCCAACCCAAACCAGCCAGGGCCAGAGCACCCCCAACCTTTCCCCCACCTCCCAGAAAATCCAGGCATCTGGGCCCCCAGCCCCCCCTGCTCCCAGCTCTCATCTCACAGCCCCCACTCTCCTCTCAGATAACCCAGGCATCTGGGCCCCTTACCCCACTGACCTGGCCTCCCGGGGTGGTGGGTCTGCAGCTCAGCCCCATGGTTCCCTCCATGCCCCGGTCTGGGAGACAAGGACACACGGTTGGCCTCTATTCAGCTTATTGTCCACTGTCCCCTCCAGGTCCTTTTCTGCAGAGTTGCTGCTTAGCGAGTCAGTCCACATGCAGCCTGCACCAGTGCAGGACAGGCTGGGGACCAATCATCCCTTTTTCCCCACATCCACCTTTTTTCCCTTCTCCCATTCTCAAAACAAAGAAGACTCCATGAAAACCAGCAAAGGAACCCCAAATACCTCAAAGATCTCTTTTTAACCCTTCCATAGTTCCTGGCTGGCTTCAGGCCACTCAGTGGTTGTTTTTTTTCCCTCCTCTGCAAATTTCCACCCACACCCACAGACCAGGCTGGTTTGTGTAGCTTGGGTCATAAAGTACTTTGGGGGAAATCCAGACAAATACATAAATTCAGGGAACTATATAGGCATAAAGTGTTCCCTTGTTGTGAAGGCGGCAAACAGCATCCTGGGCTGCATTAGTAGGAGCATTGCCAGCAGATGCAGAGAAGTGATTCCTCCTCTCTATTCAGCACTGGTGAGGCCACATCTGGAGTCCAGTGTCCAGTTGTAGGCCCCCCACTATAGAAAGGATGTGAAAAAAATCAGGACCCCTGATTTGTCCCGCAGGGGCCCTATGTTACTCTGCACTTTCCTTTTGCTTGCTATGTATCTGTAGAAGGACTTTTTATTGCCCTTAATTGTTGAAGTCGAACTAAGCTCCAGTCTTGCCTTGGCCTGCCTGATTCCCTGAAACAGTGTGCCAGGGTGGTGTATGCCTCCTTGGTGGCTGCCCCCTGCTACCACTGCCTGTAAATCTCTTTCTTTGCCCCCTGTCTTTCCTGGAGTTCCCTGTTCAGCCAAGGGGGCTTTTTTATTCCCTTAGCCCCTTTCCTGCATAAGGGGATAGACTCCTTTTGTTCCCCAAGGATCACTTCCTTGAGAAACCTCCAACCCTCCTGGGCCCCCATTTGCTTGATGCTCTTGAGTTCAGCCACCTCACTAACTAGCCTTCTAAGTTTGCTAAAGTTGGCACTCCTGAAGTCTAACACTTTAGCCTCACTGGATATTTTTCCCACCCTTCGCTGGATAGTGAACTCTACCAAGTAATGGTCACTAT